ATATATATATATATATATATATATATATAACAACATATAGGGTTTGTAGCTTGAACGCGAGGGTCTAGGGCTTGGCGTTTAGGGTTATGCCCATATGTTAAACACTACGCGTTTTATTCCTTCTTGCTGACGCTGTACGTGAGCAGTAAACAGCTGATGCTGCCTCTACGGAGCAAGCTGGTGAAGCAGCAACTACCATATGATTACTGAACGTGTATAAAATCATACATACTACATATATATACTAAAGAATACACTAAATGCATGCACCCTAAAATCCTAAATACAAACAGCAGTAAACGAAACAAACCCCTAACCCCCTCCGTTGAAGACCTGAAACTTCAATGCCGAGGCGTGAAACTAGCTAACTGCAGGGTAAAAGAGGCAACACGAAGCTGCAAGGCGAGAACGCAGCAGGCGCAGTTCAGCTTTCCTCACCTTTCAGCCCTCGCCTGCGCGGCGAGCTGTCTGAGTTGCTGTTCTCTGAGTTCTTCTTCTCGTATTTTCTTTTGTTTCTTAACTTCGTTACGAAGTCGAATCTCCTCTCGTGCCTGTCGCTCTGCTATGTACAGCGCCTCGGAGAGAGAAGCAAATTTGTCGTTCACGGAAACCTGAAGCAGACCGCAACGTTCACCACATATAAGCATTTATTATTGAGCTAGAAATCTCTGAAAATTGTATTTTAGAAAGAAAATATACAAGGGGACCAAACAATGCAGTGAAGTAAAACAAAATATATGCGCGTATCGACTGTCTCGTGAGCAGAAGCCCCAAGCAAATTCAGTTAGCCAAAGCACCATGAAAAACACCCCCAAACAAACATACACCTCAAAACAAAAGTGTATGAATGCTTTTCTCTGCATAGAGGGCGCAGCTCCAACCGCTGGCGATTCACCACCGTTCATGAGGCGCGAAACGCATGCAAGATGGCAAGCAAAACGCAGAAAAGAAACATATATATATATATATGTATATATATATATATATATATATATATATATATATACCAAAAGAAACATATACACACCAACATAAACCCGAATACTGCTCAGTGTACCGCCTATGCCCAAGTTGTCTGTCACGAGGTGTGAGATACTCAGCTCAGGAGGGGGAGAGAGAGGCGAACACAGAAATAAATATTTCGGAATTGAAACACCTATGTATGCTATCTACTCATCACAATATAAATAGAAACAAATACAAGTAAAGTAAAAAGCAAACAAGAACAAACTAGCGCCTCACATCTTGCAAGTTTCTGCCGTCAGCAGCAACACGCTTGTCAAGCGGTATTGTATACCCCTTCTGGTTTTTCCAGTTGCTGACGCAGGGAGGAATCTTCCAGTCTTGCTGGTCTTGCAGTGTGAGTTTCCCTGAAAAAGAACAAAACAAACAAACAAAATTCAAGTAAAACAAGAAAATAAACAAAAATACAAAAGAAGATGCAACCCAAGGATCGCCGAACAAGCCACAACGCCACAACCACAACGACCAGAAACGAAATGCAGCCTCTCAGCCTCTGTGTATCTTAATCAATCAGAGTATAAGCAGCAGCATCGGGAGCAGTATGAGCAAGCGCAAGCACAGCAACGAAGAAAAGTTGAATTTCATTACTTGTTGGGGAATGCAGAACAGGAGGGGGCGGAGAGAAGCGAGCTGCAGGCACTCTCTTGTGTTTAAAACGAGGAGGCTCAAGAGGA